ATCTCTCTCTCTCTCTCTCTCTCTCTCTCTGACTCGCACTCTCCTTTTTGTTTCCTGCGAGCACGTCAGTTATACGGCGAGCCGATCTCACTGATATTTCCTCTATTTACAAAACACTGCCCTTCCCTGCATACTCTCATCTCTTGTTTAATGTTTAATGTTTCCCTCAGATTATCGACCCTGGCAGTTCAAAGGGAGCAAATCTAGATTACCCACCTTTAGTTACTTCATGAAAGAAATGTAAACGTGCAGATTTATTATTGAGTAGAATGGGTGTTTTCATCATAATTAATTGCAGATTGTCTTGTAGCAATAAATTATTCTATAATTCGTATCACACAATGTAGCCAATTTTACTGAACGCTATAGAAATAAGTATCCTGAATGCAGACTAGTATTACCCGATCACATAAAAACTTGTTTAAAGAATATTAAGTCAGTTTAGAGGTCGCAGGGACTGCTTTTCCTTTTCCCCACAATGTAGAGAGGAAGCGTAAGTTCCCGCAACCTCTATGTTGTTTTCTACTGTCGTCATAGGCCACAGCAGTGGTAAAACAACAGTCCACGAGGTTTGAACTCAGTCCCACCTAATGTCCTAATTGTACATATGTGTTGTTTGCAATTGGACGAACCGTATAAATAGTGAGAAATATAGGGTTTGAAAAGTGAGAAAGACGCGAGTTACCAAAGTTCTAACAAGTGCACAAACGGAAAACAGCAAGAAACTGCAGGCGAGTAATTTAGAGCGGTTTCGTGCCCAGATATGGATTTTTTGTTCTTGCTGCCTATTCTGTTTGCAAAAATAATCTACTTTCGATTCCCATCGTTGGTTTGATTAAATACCTTAGCAAAATTATCGAAATCCGTCCACTTATGTACTCGTTCACTTGCCACGTATTGCGACTTTTAAACGCATGTTTTTTCTCGAAACTGTGATATCAGCATTTTCTAGTCGCGTACAAACTGAGACTGACTAACTATGCAGGAAAGCACTTTCACTCCCAGACCTGACCCGCTACTCCAGTCAATGGCCTGGCTGTGAAAGGCACGTAATCTGCGAGAAATCTTTCTTCAGTAATCAAATTGTAATGTTTGGATTCAATCAGATAAAAAAAAGTAAAGTTGTTCCCGCTTCGGATCCGGACATTGGGGATTGTCTTGTTAGTGAGGCAACTTCCTGGCCCTTCGGCATATTGTGGTAGGGTGGTCAGTTCCTATCCACGCCACCTTTACTTCCCCAACTCGAAGTCAGGTACCCATTACTTTTAGTCTGGGAGGGCAGGAGTGGGGGAAAAATTCTATACGATAGATAAAATATATTATCATATTGATTCTCAACACACAATCTCAATCTCACTGTCTTTTTCTTTACTTATCTAATCCTCCCGGTGGTTGGCGGACGCCACTGGTAGATTCTATTTCCTTGCTATTCTTCTGGGGGAGGAGGGGTTCTGTCTCTACATCCTTTGTTTCCCAACCGCAACTGAGATGTATTGTATCGATGTGAAACTCTTCGTTTAAATTATTTGAGGGTAAGCAAGGATAGGTGGCAGGGTGCTCTGGAGCAGTTTTGCACTTTTTTTGCTTATTAAACATGAATTATGGTCTTCGTACTCTAATTTTTATATTGCCCTCAAGTAACACCTCTAATCTCCGGTACATGTCTGATTTATTTATGTTGCTATTGTCGTAAAACTCTAGCTAAAGCACAAAAAAAAACCCCA